TTTACTCCAGAAGGAGAGAAAAACTTGGGAAGAAACGGAAAGTCAAATGAACTTTGAGGTCTTTATAATCACAATATTAAGTAAGAGCACCAAAATATTAAAATGGAAAATTGAGCAAATCCCCGATGCGTTGTATTTATCTAAGCAGACATAAGCGGCATCTCAGCCACTCTTCAACGGTTGCCAGTGGAAACCAATTTGATAACTCTCGAAAACAGCGCTCATCTTCGTGGATCCTCCCCTTAGTTATTGATCCACGTCTATTAGAAATAAATAGAATTTCCGGCAAAGTTTTTCTATTCATTGCTGGAACCATTTAACTGTTTCAGCAAATGCCATCACTGTCCATTAGGCATTTGTTCAACCTCAATTGTATCATGCAATAAATTCTCTCTTAACTTTTATTCGCATTGTCAATAAAAGGAACAGGAAATCAGAATAACTGAAATAAGACAAATAGTAGGCAAAGCGGAATCGTTCACAATTGAGAAATTCAGAAAACAAGCAAAAATGGATCGTCCACCGGACTCGATGTCCGATCGAGTGCGCCATCGACGCTTCCTAGTGCTCGATCGACATGTAAGTTGTTAAGGTGTAATTTAAGGCTTAGTACATGTGTACGTGCATTTTAGAAACAATCTCAACCGCAAAAGCTTGACGATGTCTCTGAAAATTACAGTCCACGGAGCACTGAAAGGTTGATTAGCTGCTATGTTTAGTAGTGCATGTGTACTTAGTGAAAAGAACAATACTCAGTTACCTTATAGCTCCTCAGTATCTTCGTATCGCGCACCATTTATGCCTATGCCCGTTGCTATTCAGGTCGAGGATGAGGACGGATTTCAAATACGTGGGTGAAATTCATTTTTTAAATTAAAGAAATAGTTTTTTTTTCAAAAGAGAACCGTCTTTTGAAACTGTTATTTAGACTAGTGTGATTCAAAATTTTTTGGCCAATTATATATTTGAAAAACAGAAATGTTATTTTCAATCCTGCGTTCTACATGGTATGATAATGGTGAGGCAAAGGGCAATTAGCGAATGATTGCAAAATGAGAGACTCTAATGGGCAAAAAGTATCTATTTATGTGGAAGAGATTTTGTTTTTCCTGCATATGTTTGCTGTGAAGTTGAAGAAGATGTGAGAATTGGAGATAGTCACTAGATATCATTTGTTCTGTAAAATAAATCCTAAAAGAATTTAGAATTTTACCCAACTTTGCCAAAAGATCAGCCAGTTACGTTTATTTTAGAATTCCGAACATCTACATTCAGAGCGTTCCCATAGTCAAGCATAGTAAAAGGAGTTTGAGTAAG